TATATACACTTTTTCGTGGACGAAGTGCTGCCGAGAGTCGTCCAGCGGCCGCCCCTCCGACCCCGTCGACCGACGCCAGCAACCCTGAGGCCGAGCATTGCGGAACGGAGGCAAAAGCGCAGTGGTGGTGAAAAGAGAGACAAGGTGGTGCGGGGTTGAGTTCCTAGATGGAAGTGGAGGAGTAAAAGGGTAGGAGATGGTTGGAGTGGTAGCTAGAGATGGGGTTGACGAAGAGGGGGTGGGAGGAGGCAGAGAGCAGGAGAGATCGAAGCGTGTGGGTGGCAGAAGCATAGGGTTGGTTAGAGAGGGTGGATATATATCGCAATCGGGGGCACTATGTCGCGCCAGTGGCGTCGACGCGAGCTCTCCATCCCTCTCTCTGGTCCTGTCTGTCTTCCTCGATCTCTCACGCTACCACCCCCTCTTCATCCCTCGTACCCTCCTTCATTCTCTCATCCAACCGTATAAACCCCCTCCAAACCCGCCTATGTACACGACCCGTCTTTCTCCTCCTCGTTTTCTCTCTGTCCGTCCCCCCTCCCCTTCGTCGTTAATGCGAAGAGAAGAGATGCTGCGCGAATCTTCAGCGTGTTGGTCGTCGACGTGTAGGTGGTGGTGTTAGATACAGTAGATATTCTGCAAAGGTCTCTCGCCCGAGAGTCTTGGTACCGTCAACGCCAACGTGTCGTCCTTGTTCCACCGCTCGCGCGGAATTCGACCTTCTCGCTCGTCTATCCTCCACCCTTTCTTCATCTCTACTTCCTGAACCTGAGGACTGGACGAACGAACAGGCATGTAGTGGTACCCAAGCGTCGATGCAGAGGCGTTCGGTTGGCTGTCTCGTCTTCTTTCCCTCTTTCTCTGGCGACCCTCTGAACCTCGCATTCTCTGTTTATTCCCTCGTTCTCTTTGGTCGTCTCGGACCTCTCGCGGTTAAAGGGTTCCTTGGGCGAGTTGGATCGACGACGATGGCACGGTCCGATGATCGTGATCGCGAGTACACCGTGCTAGACGACAATAATATATAAGCAAACTGCATCTTTCCCCATCCTCTCTCTATCCGTCGGTTCAACCTTATCCCCGGTTCACCATCTCGCTCGCTCTTGTTACCCACGATGGAAAGACGCGTTTCCGTAGGTGGTCTCTCTCACGGACAGCAGTAGTACTTTACGTCTACCGGTCCTGGCGGCGGGTATACCATGTCGAGTCGTGATAGTGTGCGTTTGATCTCGACCGAGGGAGGTTGCGTGTTCGCGCTATGCGCGGTACCGTCCTTGCAAGAGTGTCTTGTTGGCCGTCTGGCTGGTAGCGTCGTGAAAATCTTCCCTTCCGACTTGCTCCCCCGCGCTTTCAACCCCCCAGAACCTTATCACGCTTGTTCGTTCGTCTCTACTCCGCTTTCTTTCCACCTTTCTGAAAGTTCACGTGCCGCGACAGGCTGGTGTGGGTGACGTTACGGATGGCGGGGGTGGTTTACGTTGGCCCCGTCGTCCGTGTGGGTGAATCATGCTCGTGTTAGAGAGAGGGTGGGGACGTGTACGTGACATGGAATCGTAGCGATGTATACGTCACGTTGGTTGATGGTGGTGGCGGGTATAGTAGGTATCCTGCAAAGGCGTCTTGTTGGCCGCCTGGCTGATCAATACCCATCCAACCAGCGACCCTCTGCCCGCACCCTATGCCCACGGGGCCGTGGACCGTGCCTACACCTCTAACCACCCCTGAACTCGCCACCACCACCACCACCACCACCGCCGCCGCCACCGTTACGTTTGCCACCCCCGTAGCGGCGGCAGTGGCAGCAGCAGTACCCCACGCTTCCCACTCTGTTGGCCCCTACCGACACGCGTTGACCCCTACGCAATTTACATCGCGGCCTCCATAAAGTTAATTGAAATTTCCGCCCGCCGCAGCTTCGCAATCGACGTCACCGCCGCGGAGCGGGCCTCTACCGGGTCGTCGCGTGTCTTATGAGGTCGCATTGTTTCGGTTCGGTTTTTTTCAGGGAAACTATGGGGGGCGTGTTGCTGGGGGGATGGCGACCCTACGCGGTTCGGTTATGGGGTGGTTCCACGCGTAGCACCGAACGTTGGCCGAAGTTTCGTCTAACGCTCCGCAGCCGCTGGTAATTGGATTCATCAAATATTAGCGCTTGACCCGTTCGAGGTCTTCGTTAAAGTTGATCGTTAAAAGTAACCGTAGTTTCCCCCAATTTCCTATTTCTCTTCGTTAAAACGTAACTTGGTGACGTCGTTACTCGTCTGGACGTCTATGGCAGTGGTTCCTAACAGCTACCCTTTGTCGCCTAATGATCCGTTTAGTTTCTATCTTGTACTGTTAAGGGAGCCATCTTGGACGCGTGGAAATCGCATATTTAACAATTGTTCTTTTTATTATACATACACTGAATAATGAAAAAAATGATTTTTATTTAGATTTTTTAAATAAAATGGAGATCATGGAGTCATTACGCTACAAGCATTTATTGTAGGACTCTCAGATTAAAAGGAGTGTTCTCAGGTATAGTTGGGCCTGATACAAGTTGCCAAGCATACCTTGGAAGTACGTATGAATTCTTTAAAGTATCAATTTTTATAAAAATGGTGAAGGTGTGAAAAAAGAAAATCTCGTTTTTGCTCATTATTTAATGTTAAGAGTGACTATAGCAAGAGATATTCTGAACGTATCCTAAAATCCGTATCTACTTTCAAGGTGAAGAGAGGAAGCTACCAAACAAATGTTTTTGGTACAAGTAAAGTGGTGGGAGGATCTTATATATTTGTATCCTTAAACTTGTCATACGTGGTGATTTATTTTGATACGAAACTATACGAGTTATATTTTGTAGATTTATCGCAATCCACCCTTAATTATCATCGATACAAACTTAGTACAAGTGTTGGGTTCCGAAACTACGCCACAATTCCACCAAGAATTAAATGTATCCTTCGCCAAAGTGTCGCGAGCATACGAAAGCAAGGATACGTTAATCTACAGGTTACTTTCGAAATTGACAATGCCCCGGGATTCCGTTGACCCGCATGACCGTTCGCGAGGAACCAAGGAACTTAATCCCCGCTCGCGTGGCTCGTGCACTCCGCAATAAGACGTTCGGCATTGGCTACCAAACGGTGGGTTCCGAAATGCATACGGCCCGAGGGGCCAAGAACGGAGAGGGGAAGGTGTGGTGGGTGCATGTGCGCCAAAAAGTAGAGCCAAGTTTCGTGGCAGGTGTCGATGTAACAGTGGCACGCGCACGCTCCTTCGCCACCGGTGCTCTTTCTCCTCTGACCGGTCCTCCTCTCCTCTATGACTCTCTTTGCTCTTTTTTCTCTCCTATCCTCCCTCCCGCCACGGTTGCCCCTCGCGTCCCTTCCCCACTTCGGTTCGCCGCCGTTGTCTTCGTTGTTCTCCTTTTGACTTTTTTCCTTTCTTCCTTCGTCTCCCACCTCTGCCACCCTGTACCATCTTCTCCCGCTCCGACTGGTAAAACCCCCTCCAACCCCTCTGCCATCCCTCTCTGGGGTCCTTCTCCTCGTTCTCCTGGCTCTCCTGCTTCCTATATACTTCGTTCGCTCTTTTTTTTATTTTACTTCTTTTCTCCCACGAGCTTCCCCTTCCCAGGGTCCGACTTCTTCAGCGGCTGCATCAGTTCCGATCTCAGATGCTCGGCTCGCTGAGACAGGTGCCGTCGACTATTATGACCACCTTATAACCGAGGTAGTCACCGCCGCCACCGACACCGTGGCACCACCTATGCGCCTCGTTGTCCCGCCGATGCCGCACATGCCACACTGTCGCGGTTCTTTTGCTTTATTTGTGCCAGGCGTCTGAGCCGAACAGGTGGCTGCTGGCCCCCGAATCGGCCGATCGGGACGTGCTCAGGGAACGTGTTGCTGTCGTGTTACGGAGGAGCGTCGCGCACCTCCGCGATAGTAGCCATCGAGGACTCGTGTTCTCTACCGTCGAGACGCCGCGAGAGAGAATGGAGCTCCTTTGGAGGATTATAGGAGACTGTTGGAGGATCCAACGAACGCGTCAGTCGATAGTGACGACTGGTAGAACTATGGTTCCGTTTATGAGTAGTTGGGATCATTGAGGCTGGGACACCTGACCTTACCAACTTAAATAACTCGAAACCAAGTATTGTACGCAACATTTCTTTACACGAAAGTTGCACGTTTACCAGGATGCTTTTTAACGAAAGTATCGAGGTCCAATCAAACTGGTGGCTTTGATATCTTTGTTAAGAAGCTTGTTAGTGAGACTTTCAGAAATTCAGATCTTGGGGTGGTACTTGTTTGGAAGAGCTAAGAGTGTCGAATATTTAAAGATATTGAATTGGCTCGGTAAAGTATATTAGTGTGTCTATCGTCTGAAAAGTTGCAGAATATTTTTTTCACAGTAGGTTAGTAGACCTATTTCAACGGAACAGTAGCTGCCAATTAGCCATATCGGCAATGGCGATGTTCAGCAAATAGGTCGCAACCTTTCACCTACAGTGGCCAACGTAAGCTCTATTGAAGAGCGATTCTCGGAATGAAGTTACTCGTAGACTAGAAATTAATCGATGCAAACATTTGATAAAATTTTATTATTTTTGTATTCGAGTACGAGAAAAGAAGACAAACTCGATAACATTCGGTCTACCAATTACCCGAAACAGACATTCAAACTTCTGATTTTTCAAATACTGTTCGGTACCAATCCGAAACAAGAGGTTATTAAACGTTCGTTATTAAACTTTCCATTGTTACGACTCCATTCCTGCATCTGTTTCATCGTTAACGGAGCGTGTCCTGAAAGAAAATCGTCATGTGTTTCTTTTTTTTTTTTTCACGGCTGTCGTGGACACGCGGCTGACTTTCACCCGTTCGACAATCGACTGCGATGGATTTTTCATTTTGGGGCGTAATCCGATGTCTTTCAATTATTAACACATTGGCGTCGGAGGTCTCCTTTGTATAAATATCATCTTTTTATTGAACACGTAAAAAAAAATACTTTCATAAATAGTACAGCATAAATATAACAATCATGAGATGGTTACTTGAAGAAACCCCTAAATTTTCTCATAGCGAAATCGTAATCCTATTTTACAGGAAACAGTATGCAGGAAATGGACCGCAACGACGTACTTTCACATTATTTTAATTCAAAGGGACATCATGATTGGCTTGTTGATGTTTATTAAATGTTTATTAAATATTGCGGACCTTTGTATAATTACACTTGTCATAAACATTTACAGTCTACTCGTGACATTTATAAAAAGAAAGTGAACTATGCACATCCTTTATAAATCTCCGGCGAGACCAACGATGGCGTATTTTTGTCGTCATCTGGACTCCGTGATGAAACGCCCGAATGACGCATCTGTGCGTCATTCGACGTCAATGCGTTAAGAGGCGCACGGGTCGTGTGCCATAGTGGTCGCGAGAACGGTGAAATTTTGTGAGAGCGTGTAACGCGTGGCTGTTAAAACCGCCAAACCCACGTGTACACACGCGTGCCACTGGACTGGCAGCGAAGAAGAAAGCTGCACTCGCGGTTGCTTGCACCGGTTGTTGCACAGACTGCTCCACAAAACCACGGGCCACCGCAGCCGCACAAACGAATCGAAAGTCGAATCGAGTCGCCACGAACGCAGCCAGCTGATGAAATTAATTAAGGGGATTAATTAATAGAAGATCGTCGTCGATAGAGGCGCGCGCGAGGGAATTCGCTTGGTCGAGGAGTGCCCAGCGGCACCGCTTCCTAGTTACTTGGCGGTCCTGTGAGACCGTCGCAATGCAATCAGCTACCGAGACAATTAATTTCGATGTTAATGCACTTTATTGCACTTTAATGCACTTTAGGGTGTAACATGTATACGATAATGATACGTGACTATCGAGATTCATACATTTTATTAACCTATATCAAATTGAATTATTGATATAAATCTAACTTGTATAAGTTAATGTATCCGTAAAAGTGCTAGAAATAGTTGCCTGCGCTGCCTTTGCATCCGCAGTTTCGATTAATTTTCACAGGCAATCCGTCTTACGGATTAACCAGTGACTTTTTATTCGTTCGTGAAGTGAATTTCCTCGCAGCACCGCGCCGAGGTCGAATGGGAGTGGTCCAGAATAGTATTATCGACTGTGGATTGAGAATTAGGAATTCTAGTGATTAATTGATCTGCCGAGTAACTGGATTTCTTTTATTTGTGGTTCTTTACTCCATCGCTGTGGTAATAAATAACCGTACCATCAAAGTGGTTATAAAAAGAAACTACACGGGGCAAAGAGAAACAACAACTCTGCTGTTATTGATTAAATCAAAAATGAATTTTTAGGACATTGTGAATGAAGTTGATCTCATAAATTATGAGAATCTAGCGGTTACCTTTCGCTCCCTGTTGCTACCAGTCTTCGTATCCTGAATAGTAATTATATAAAACATAAAACAATGGTAACGTCATGAATTCACACGATTCTACTATACAAAAGATTCAAGTCCTCGGAGGCTGTAGCATGCGAATATGCAACTACGGTACGGGTTTAGGAACCCCGAGGTACCCGAGCTAGAAGTGGTCCAGTGGTCCACTTCGTACGAAAGTCAAGACTAAGACTATACCAAGGTCTTTTGACTACAGAATCGCAAAATGAAAGAATTACGTAAAGCCAAGTAACATTAAGAAGAATGGACAAATTTGTATTGTGGTTACGCATTTAAATAAACAAGATCAGTATACGACGACCTGAAAAAAGGAACTCCTCGGGGGATGCCTACGCTAGTGACTTTCCCCCGAGACGAGAACGAATTAATGCGGCTTGGTGTACCATCGGATGAACCCTCCATATTGCGGGTACCGTAATTTTCGCGTAAGTTGTTCAGATGACAGCAAACTGGAGGTAACTTTACGCACAATATGTACAACTTCATTAATTATGCAAGAGTAGAAGAAAGTATCAGCATGAATGTCCGTAGGAGGAAACTGCCTTCTGGACTATCTTCTAGACCCACCTAGAAAGGAAATAATTATGAAAATTCACTGGCTCTGTTCTACTCGATTAATTAGTTTGGCTAGATTTGACTGGGTACCTATGACTTCCTTGGACCCCCAAATAACAAGAATGTAGTTTTGGTACATTAATGACCATCAAGTTGGGACTTAGTCTGGGCTGAACCTTCTCAACCGAGTGAACAAGTCGAAACTCAGAGCGATATCTACTCGGCCACCGAACTGTTACCTCGAGGGCGAGATTGTTCGATATTAAGAGCTACTAACAAGTGGTCAGACTTTCTTAAAACTCAAAGATCCTATGGAAACTCGTTTCTAACCTCGGACGTCATCCCTCGCATATCAAAGACACCATCAAGGCTACCCGAAGACCATCGATCCCGAACAATCGCGAAGGTAACTTTGTCTCACCTGGACGACTCGACTTCGTCTCAAAATTCGTCTCAAAATTCGTCTCAACTCGATGGACATAACGCTACCAGGCGTCTACGCGTTACAGATCGCTACATTGGTCCCCGCCAGCGCACGTCTAGGCTCGCAGAGCTCCCTGGTCCGTTTCTCTCCGTGAAATTCGCGACAACACGTAGACGACGGCACGGATTCCCGCAGACAGGCGCGTGTGCGGACGCGCGTAGCGTACACGTATACAGGAAGCGCTGGCAACGCGAGTGGAACATCAGAGTACCTTTGTCCTCCTCCAGCATGTCGGAGGAGGCACGGGGTGTAGGATCCCTATTGATCTCCTCACAGAGCTCGGTAGCAGAGAGTTCACAGAGGGGCAGGGAGTGCAACAGAGCGAGAAGGACGAGCGGAGAACCGCGGGACAGAGAGAAACAGAGAGTCAGAGAGGATCGCGGATGGACCTCAGCTGGGATGCGGCAGAGAGAGGTCGCGTTGTCACGCGTTGACTTGACGCGTCGTTAATGCGTTACTACAGGTTAATGCCAACGATACCCTGACCGCTAATAGGACAACTCTTTTTCCTCCAGGATCGCCCTCTCGCGAGGTGCTTGCGCCAGCGAAGTGATCGTACGCCCACGCGAACGCAGCTGTTGTTGAAACGACGACCCGTTTCAATCATCCACTAGTTCAGCCTGGTGACGTAAATTGTCGCGCATCGCCTCTGCCTTGTATCAACATTCACTGCAATATGCACCGCGAAACGCGGTCTGTGCGATGGCTGGCGTTTGGATTTGTGTTTGGTCTCTAATGGACGTCAGCTTTCTTTTGGTAACCATGGATGGAACGGTTGTTTTTCTTAAAGGCTTCGACAACTGTTGTTCGTGATACCAGGTTAGACCTCTGATGGTTGTGTATTAAAGTCTAGGAGTGAGAAGTAACCTAATGGAGAACGTCTTTAACATGGTTGGAGATTGGAGTAATTTGGGCAACCATCATTGATACGACAGTTTAAATAATAATTGTGGAATGTTTGGAGTTGTTGTCCAGCCCACCAAGATGCTTGCCTTTCTAGGAGGAAGTCACCACCTCTGGTAGAGACAAAAACAACTGATGAAAGGAGACGCGATCTTGGTTAGTGTCGGAGTTAGGGACTTTCACCTAGAAGGGCTATAACCTGCTTGGCTGCTTGTACAGTCTGTTGTTCGACGAGTGTTGGGTGACAATATGGTATTGGTATACTAATAACGTTGTAACTCAGCTTGTGACTAATCTCGGAGCAAATCCTTCCATCCTTGAGACCTAGTGACAATCCTTAGCAAGATTTGGACACTTGGAGATTTGAATTGAGACGAGCACTATGGAAAACTCATTTATCGAATCAAATTGCGTTGATCTCACTTTCCTTGCATATTAATCACCACATAGTTGAAGAATTGTCGCCTCGAGCAAATAATAATCGAAAATTCCAGAATGTGAGAAAAAGAGGTTCAACAGTCTGCTGACGGCATCGTCGTTCTAAACCTAAACTATCGTGGATAAAAGGCGAGTATGCCATAATCGAGCGAGATGATAGATCGCTTCTAGAAAGTACTCCGACACACACGCATCACGCAATCGTATCAAATCTATGAAAGTCCACCTACATGTAGGCTGTACACGTACGATTCGCCGTTTCACCTCAAGCAGTGAAACTTGAGACGCTGTCCTTTCGAGCTGCATTTATGCACCGTGATTAGACGTGAACTAGATACACCTTGTAGGAAAGCAATGCGTTGTATTTTACTGCCACGAAACATCACTCGGTATAAATCTCACATATGTCAGAGGAAATGTCAATACAGAAATGGGATACGCCGATTTACGTCACCGAAGAAACGAGAATATGATTTTGGTGATCAGTCATCTGAGGAACAGGTGCATTCCTGATAAACTTGTACCCACGGTATTCGTGTCGTACAATTGGGCCGGAAACGCGTGGGCATACGTTAATCGGATATCATCAATTTGTTCGTATTATGCATCTCGTTACGTGCCCTATAATCCAGTAGTTTCCAAACTTCCGAGAGTGTTCTCCTGAAAAAGAAAACGAACTTCTGAAGTATAAGTAGCATATAGCGTATTTGTATAATATCGTTGAAGTAAAATTTAAGAATAGAGACATACATCGAATAGGAATAATAAAATATAGAAAAAATGAGAAAAAAATATTCCTAGGACAAAAATCGCGTAGGAACCTTGTTAGAAGTCTCCAAATCAGGCCCAAATTGTAACACTTATCGAGGAGACCAGGTGAATTGTTCCTTACGTCACCCATCGCTACATGTATCAATTTAACTACCTCCTCGAGTCTGCAGCTTTTCTTCTACCCGCTGCATTCCAGCTGGCCTATCAATTAGTACTCCAGCAGCAGCGAAAGGGCGACTCTTCGTGTTGGATTTCGCCAATTTCGTCCAGCATTCGCTGCGTTCCGATTCAAGCAAGCGGCGGGGGAGGGTAGTTGACAATAATTCATCGTTCGTCTTTCCCCACTGGCTAAATAGAAACGTCGCTATTAATCTCGACACGTAATTGCGACACTGAAAGGGTTAGACTTGTTAGCGCGCCGGACGATATATCGTCGGCGTGCTTAGACGCTAAATTAAACGTTTCGCGCGAAAATAGCCAACGGTTCTCTTCGGTTCATCTGCCCCTAATATATTACCAACTCGTTGGGCGATCGCGATTCGGACGAATCGTGGATCGGTCCTTGCAAAACAGAGGATCGAGCTGGGTTGAACAATCTTCGATCGAAACCTTGCGAACTCTTTTCTTCTTGGAGTAGATTCATACTTCGGTTTAATAGTTTCAAATGTGTTCAGTAGGTCAAATGCTACGTTACACATACATGGGTGACAGATCTCTTCGCTACGGAGCTAAATAAAATTAATTCTAAAGGTCAGGTACTAAAGAAAACTAAGTATTACAAGTAATGATGGATTACGTAGTTTCCAATTGGCACAAAATTAAATTTTTTTAGGCTTGAATCTAGCTGTATCATCGTCTTAACAACGACCATAATAATAAATTTGATCGCCCAGAATGTCCAACTATTCGCTAGCAGTGATTCGACTATTCAGGATGATGATGAGACCAACTCGAATGCGCAGATATGGTCATCCTCATCAACGCGAAGCATCTCTATGATTAACAGTTGAAAGCAGACAGCCCCAATTGCAGGTGTTCGTATTACATTGCTTAACCCCTGAATCTTCGTTTATAAATTATACCAGAGTGTCTGAGACTGTAGTCCATAGATCTCTTGGGGGATGAGCTCTGCACGCGTAGTACATAGTTTCGCGAGGAATCCTCGAAGCTACGTGCCGTCTCCCAATGCCAAAAGGTTCCCCACACCTAATCAAACTGCGGCCAAAATTGTTGCTCCTTGTCACTAACCGACTTTTCTCTTCTAATTTCAGACGAGCCACGAAAACTTCGCTGGATGTTCGGCACAGGTATTTATCAGAGTTATTTTCCCGGCTCGTCGTCAGCAGAAGGAAAACGGTAAAAATTAAAAATCATTTGAGTTCATACAAAGACATTGATTTCGATAATGTGTAGATTCACGCGAGAAGTGTGAAGGCTTGCGAGGAATTAGTAAACTGACCTATGGCCTTCCTCGAGTTTCATAAAGTTAGTTATTCCCAGTTTAATTCAATGAACATACACGTTTCGATCTTACATTTGGGTCCTCCTTAGTGTGATTTATATGAAACATATTCTTCCTTAACGTATATATTCTATAATAGTAATAATAATTCCTAGACTGTGCACATCTTCGTAGATTTTCCCAAACTTCAACTTGCCACAAATACATACACGTCTACAGTCTATTAATTACACAAAATGTCTCCAGACTTCGTGGGGAATCCCTGAAGTGACAGTGATCCTTTCAACCCCAAAAAGCTACCCACCTTAAATCCATTCTCCTATAAAGGTCGCGTTCACTGTATATCGAGCAAACGTCGATGATCGAGATGATCACATCTCAGTGGCAGACTTCGTTAATTAATTCGAAACGTTCTGGTCCAGTTTATGCGTTTAATTGCTCCACATTCGGAGGAACGGTTACTCGTCCGCCTCCCTCTATCCTTTCCATCTAGCGAAGGAAATCGCGACCGCTCGCTTTTGTTCTGCGGCTGTTCTCGCCCGTTTTGTTCCGTTTGGTAAAAGGATAGAGACTGTGCAAGGAATTTCATATGTAGGGCAGCTCAAACGAAGCGTCGAGATCAAGCAATGTAACCGGGTGGTGGCGCGTATCCGCCAATTAGAGGCTTCGACTGTTCGTAAGTCACCCTTTCGCTGTTTACTATGATGTTTAAGCAATTCCTTATAGATCTACTTTTTGAAGTCGGTTAAAATTTTTTTCAGTGACGATTATTATGACGATGTTTGGGTCTGATGTAGCTTCTCAGGTGCGACAATGAAATTGTGAAAGACAGTCAAAGAGTATGCCTATTGGGATTATGTTCTTCTCCCCATTCCCTGTCTCTGCCTTCCACGTTCAGAATACCAGTCACGAGATGATAAGCTGTTCTGGCTAACAACGGATAGATATCCAAGAATCCGTTGATATCGATCAGCAAACTCGCTTTCTATTTCACGCGAGAGATAAGGTGATAAGCCCATGTAAATCAATAGAGGAGGTAAGAACGCATGATCCAGCGAGCGTTATCCACGACAGCTTATTAATTTTCATTTCTTCCCCTTCGTATCCGAGTTCTTTGTGCTAAAATGAGCGTGGCCTCGCAAAGAGTTTGTATCAACCCTCTAGTTCATAACGTGTCCAATCCGAAACACAATGAGAATAGTTCCTCTGGTCTTATAGGATTAAAGTTCATTATATCGATCAATTGAGTTGGCCATTCCCATTTTAATTTCAAAGCTATAGTAGATTGTTGGTCAGGCGTGCACTTTAGTGGCTTATTTAGTGGAGGAAAACGAGGATGGCGTCAAGATAATACCTCGAACTCGCTATGTGCAATATTACATTGGTCTCGGTAGACTTAGCGCTGAAGGTCTCGTCCAGTGCTTCTTTGTTTGTCATATACACTCGAAGTCTCTTATAATCATTACGTGAATCCTTTTTCCCTTTTTTGGTCACCTATTTGCTATCTACCGTCTTAGCAAAGATACCCTCATACTTTTAGCTACGTATTCATATGAATACATATGAATATTCCAAAGGAATAGGTTCGGATGCGTTTACATAGGAATTTGGAAAAGAGGATACTGCTAAATGCCTCGGATGCCCATCCAGGGTTACTTTCTTCGCACAATGTACTATCGAACGCACTCATCGACCAAGTTCCCACATTGGCCGCAACACGAACGTTACATGGTCCATCGAAATCCCGTTGGACGATGATCAGGCCGTTTACCATCCCATCCTTCGATTCCTGCCGGCAGAAGGTTGACTCTACGGTCGCAGCAGTGTGTAATCGGCACGCTCTCTGGGTGAGCTCGCGCTCGTGCGCGTGCTCGCCGTCTATATCGGGATTTTTGTAGCGGTTTATCATTTTTGTTCCTGTCCCCCTTTTACACCCCACCATGGTTTATTTAAAGTGTCACGAAGGCGAAGGCGTGCACGCGCATGCGCCCGCGCGCTGTCCCGATGTTGGCCAACAGGCTGTTACGGGCTTTGCACCGGCCGTGTTGCCAAACCAGGTGGCGCGTGTGTAGGTTTTGCGCGCGCACGCGTCCGCACGTCGTACATGTGCACGCGCACAAAAGCGACCGCCATTCCCCGTCCGCGGTGCCAATCAGTGGCGGAACTGCAAACCGGTGCATCCGAGAGACCAGCCGCAGGCCGTACACGCGTCCGTGGATTTCCAATCTCCTCTTCGCGTCTCTTCGTTTTTCCCTCTTTTCAATCTTTCGTTACCTCGCTCGATCCACCCGTTTCGCTGTCTGCCCTCGACTTTACGCGCTAAACTCCTTTATGGTCGGCGGAATCCGGGTTACGGGAAGGATCTTGGTCAATGAAGGATTAACTGCTACTTCTGCGGGATAGACGAGAGAGATGCGCAGACGGTGGCTCCGCACGCGCACGGTGACGGAGCAACGGCGCTGGCGTCGCTGACGTTATCGATGACTCTACGGAGTTATCGTTATTGCCAATTATCGATATTAAGGGGAAAATGTAACGCTCGCAAGATAGCGTGGCACTTGAGGGGACGTATGGCGCGATGTCTACGCTCGAGTAGGAAAAATTGAGTCGTTGTTATCGAATTTTTGTCGAGGACAATTATTTGGAGTATCTCTTCAAGGTTTATGTTAATAACCCGAAATAATCTAGAAATTATGATCCTTCTTAAGAAGACCCAAAACCTGAGATCGAAACGTCCGTTAATGATGGAACACAATCCAATTTGAAATTAGACTTCTCTGTACGACCCAATAAATGATTCTATAAGAGCACACAAGCTACAGTAGGAAAGAGATCCATATATCGAAATTATCCTTTTTAAATTCATTCTATTTTTCACATTATTGAAAAGATCTAGTATGTAAATTTTTTAAAATTTCTTCCAGTTTTTATTATCTACGCTATTGCTATAGAAACCATAAATTTATTGAAATTATCCTTAGCTCAATTCATTTATTATAACTTATTAATATTCATGCACTTCACTTTATTTTTCACTTGTTCGCTGTAGGATTTCTAAATTTATCGAGTGTGCCTCTTCTTCCAATCTGAAACGATTGTAATTTTCAAACGATCGTGCACGATTTTCTATGGAGGCCAGTTCGCGAAGCACTGTCTTAGAAAATCGTGAAATTTACCGTTTTCTCGAGTACTCGAGGCGCAGTCACATTCTTCTCGCGGTGGCCCGTTACGTTCGTTTCATTCGAATGCGAGTACACTCCGAGCTATTCAAATTGGATACAAAGGCACACGCGAAAAGCGTGATCCACGGATCCGTAGAGAGCGTGTAATATCGTGATTCTGGCACGCGATTGGCGGGAGCCGTACGAAACATGTCTCGCTGACACACTGTGTTTTTCATTATCGCCGATCGATAAGCGGCGATCGACATGAATTATTCATCGCGACGTATTAATTCGAACGCGTCACGGCTATCCGGCGAGGTGTTCATCGTCGAATTAACCTGCCGTTGCGTCGTCGATCGATCTCGATCGCGGCCACTCGATCTCTAAACATCGCTGTCACGGAAATTTGATAAATACAAGCGTGACACGGATTGTCCGTCTACTCGTGCGCGTTACCGTGCAAAGAGCCGGTGATTAAACCTGATAACGTGATAACCGATCGTTGTGACTTCTTCACGCGAGACTGTTTCCCACCTACTCGCCAACAAAGTGACGTAGATGATGACAAGATACTAATCTGTTAGTGGATTTACAGACTTTTATATTCTTCATTTATTTACTAATTTACGATTTACTTATTATTCATAGTTTATTCGATCTATATTTATATACATAATGGATTGGCAAACTCTATCAATTTGAATAGCTCTTGAATGAACTGGTAAAATGTTTACAACCAGGATTTCCATGGAATTATAATTAGCGCATGATGCGTGGATTACTTTTCAGTTAGCATGCTTTCTTACAGCTTGATGATGGTGAACATGCCGATACCGAAGGGAAAAGGATTCCGTTCAGTAACCAAAGGATTTGCAACTATTGGTGTGTTCGTGTAGTATGTCTAGACATAAAGAAGAAATTGGAAACGAATATGTCCAATTCGGCAGATATTTTCATCTGCATCGTGGTAGTGAAGGGGAAACA